TTGGAAGCAATCGCCAAAAAGCGAGAGGAGTGACAACGGAAAAGGAAAGAAAGAGAGCCAAAAAAAGAAAGAAAGAAACAAAGGAAGAGAGCCGTCCATGACGAACAGGTTACCATCCACCTGCCTCCTCCTCCCCCTCTGTCCCAATCCAAGCGGGGTCCCGATCCATACTTCATCCTCGGCTCTTCACTTCATGAGATGAGCTCTCTCACACCCGTCAGATCAGGCAGCATGTCGACATCCCCATTCTGTAAAGCTTTCTAATTATATGAACAGATCAACCATCCATCGAGTTTTGCCCCCCCCCCCCTCTCTTCTCTCTCTCTCTCTCTCTCTCTCCTGTCTCTTATACACATCTAGATGTGTATAAGAGACAGGATGTGAGGTACTGGTAGGGGCATATGGAAAATCATTATGGCTGTACTGAACGGCTATCCAGTAGGGGCAAAGTCGAAATTTGACACTGGTACCAGTAGGGGCATATTGAAAATCTCCCAGGCCAGGGTTTTTTTGGAACCTTGAATCACTGTCAGATGAGCAAATCAGGGTAAGTCGGCCGTTGGAGGGGCAAATCGCAAATAAATGGAAACTTCAGGGGCATTTCGTTTTTTTTTGTTTTTTTGAAGGCAAATTCTTTTGAGCCCAACCAATTCAATTTCCTGTTGAATCTGGACAGGACGGCCTGTCAGGCCTTTTCTATTGTCATTATAGTATCACGGGGAACCCCCGTGCTCAGGGCTCCAACAAGGAAACATGTGGGAGCTGCACCCACCAGCAGGTGCAATACCTGCTACAGCAGGTGGGCGATACAGGCCAGGGGTCAGCCGGGTAGCATCAGGACCGAGCTTCTTCGATGGGCCAGTCACTGTGCCTCCCTTCCGGTCCCCTCCCCTTATGAGCATCAACAGTCTCTGCTCAATGCCACAGGGGGAACCAATGGCATATCTCTGCGTGGCGGGCGCCAAGCTAGAGTGGCTTGCCCAGGAAGGTACATGAGGCCAATGGGGATTGAACCCAAGACCTCCTAAATGCCACTTACCAACTGAGATAGGCCGCTGGATGATACTACAGTTGATCTTAGCCAAAAGGCCGAGAAAGGTATTTCTTCTTTTTTGTTAATGCTTTTCTCCTTTGGGAGAAACTAGATGAGAGAGACAAAGGGAAAGGTTTTTCGTCACTCGCCAAATGTGGAAGATACACTTTGCCCTTTCCACATTTGGTGCGTGGTGCGGCAAGGTGCAAAGTAAAACGTTTTCGTCATTTGCTGCTGCTCCTGCAGTTTTTCCCTTCTACTTTCTTTTGGAAGAAACAAGACAAGAGATACCT